ACCAAGAACTATTAAGATAAAATCAAAGAAAACTCAGATGAGTATGTATAAATAAACATATACATGTATGTGTAGTGTGACCTAAGTGTAAGTAGAAGTAACAAGACGTACCTGTAATCTTGCATATTTATGAGACAGACAAAAGACACCAGCATTCCCAAGATCATGTAAAACAATTACAGGCTTTCGTTTCACACACACTTGGCAGGACGGTAGTACCCCCATGGGTGGTTGCTGTCTACCACCTACTACCTACATATATATATATCTTTCTTTCTTTCAACACACCGGCCGTATCCCACTGAGGTGGGGTGGCCCAAAAGGAAAAACAAAAGTTTCTCCTTTTACATTTAGTAATATATACAGGAGAAGAGGTTACTAGCCCCTTGCTCCCGGCATTTTAGTCGCCTCTTACAACACGCATGGCTTACGGAGGAAGAATTCTGTTCCACTTCCCCATGGAGATAAGAGGAAATAAACAAGAATAAGAACTAGAAAGAAAATAGAAGAAAACCCAGAGGGGTGTGTATATATGTGCTTGTACATGTATGTGTAGTGTGACCTAAGTGTAAGTAGAAGTAGCAAGACGTACCTGAAATCTTGCATGTTCATGAGACAGAAAAAAGGACACCAGCAATCCTACCATCATGTAAAACAATTACAGGCTTTCGTTTTACACTCACTTGGCAGGACGGTAGTACCTCCCTGGGCGGTTGCTGTCTACCAACCTACTACCTACATATATATATATACCTATATATTATTATTTTTATTATTAACACACTGGTCGATTCCCACCAAGGCAGGGTGGCCCGAAAAAGAAAAACTTTCACCATCATTCACTCCATCACTGTCTTGCCAGAAGGGTGCTTTACACTACAGTTTTTAAACTGCAACATTAACACCCCTCTTTCAGAGTGCAGGCACTGTACTTCCCATCTCCAGGACTCAAGTCCGGCCTGCCGGTTTCCCAGAATCCCTTCATAAATGTTACTTTGCTCGCAATCCAACAGCACGTCAAGTATTAACAACCATTTGTCTCCATTCATTCCTATCAAACATGCTCACGCATGCCCGCTGGAAGTCCAAGCCCCTCGCACACAAAACCTTCTTTACCCCCTCCCTCCAACCTTTCCTAGGCTGACCCCTACCCCGCCTTCCTTCCACTACAGACTGATACACTCTTGAAGTCATTCTGTTTCACTCCATTCTCTCTACATGTCCGAACCACCTCAACAACCCTTCCTCAGCCCTCTGGACAACAGTTTTGGTAATCCCGCACCTCCTCCTAACTTCCAAACTACGAATTTTCTGCATTATATTCATACCACACATTGCCCTCAGACATGACATCTCCACTGCCTCCAGCCTTCTCCTCGCTGCAACATTCATCACCCATGCTTCACACACCCATATAAGAGCGTTAGTAAAACTATACTCTCATACATTCCCCTCTTTGCCTCCAAGGACAAAGTTCTTTGTCTCCACAGACTTCTAAGTGCACCGTGGATGTACTGAACAGGGAGTAAGTTTAGATCTGTGAAGAGTGGGGGGGGGAGTGTTGCCAGGGATGGGATTTAGTGATTATTCTTACTGCGGCTTTTTGTTGGGTTATTATTGGCTTTAGGTGTGTTGCTGCAGTTGATCCCCAACCACAAATAGCATAGGTGAGGTATGGATAAATAAGTGAGTGGTATAGCGTGAGAAGGGCATTTTGCTGCACGTAGTATCGTATCTTTGATAGGATCCCAACCGTTTTGGATACTTTTTTGATTATGTGTTGGATATGGGTGCTGAAATTCAGGTTGTTGTCGAGGTATAGGCCTAGGAATTTGCCCTCATTATGTCTGGCAATTAGAGTGTTGTCAATCTTAATGTTAATTTGCGCAAGTCCTGCTCTGTTACCAAACATAATACGTGTATATATATGTATATATATAGCAGGTTTTGTCAGTGTTAAGCGTAAGTTTATTGGCTATCATCCAAGTTGATATTTTGATCAGCTCCTCGTTAACAATGGTTTTGAGGGTGGCAAGATTAGGGTGAGAGATGACATAAGTCGTGTCGTCAGCAAAGAGAATGGGGTTCAGGTGTTGGGATACGTTTGGAAGATTATTGATGTATATGAGGAAGAGCAGGGGACCAAGGACACTTCCCTGCAGAACTCCAGTATCAAGTGGCCATGTTGTTGAGGCTGTGTCTTTAATGGTGACATACTGATACCTATTAATAAGGTAAGATTTGAAATATGCAAGCGCATGACCTCTTATACTATAATGGTCAAGTTTGTGGAGTAGGATGCCGTGGTCTACTGTGTCAAAAGCTTTTCTTAGGTCAATAAAAATTCCTAGTGGATATTCCTTATTTTCCAATGCTATGTAAAACAGATCTAGCATTTTTATGATTGCATCATTAGTGCTTTTATTTTTCCTGAATCCAAATTGGCAGGGGTTGAGTATGTTTTGTGCCGTTATAAATTAATATAGTCTCCTGTGCACGAGTTTCTCAAAGATTTTGGATAGCAATGGTAAGTTTGATATTGGCCTATAGTTGTTTAAATCTGTAGGGTCACCACCTTTATGTATTGGTGTAACCCTTGCCATCTTGAGTAGTTTTGGGAAGGTGCTAGTTTCTAGTGACTTGTTAAAAAGTAATGAAATAGCATGCGAAAGGACATGGGCCGCTCACTTGTACAATAATGGTGGGACATGAGACAGATTCCCTGAGTTATTTTTAAGTGACTTTATAATCTCAGTGACTTCTGTGGGCTCAGTTGGTGCAAGATAGAAGGAATTTGGGAAATTCCCATCTAGGTAGTCCCCGGCATGGTTGAGAAGAAGTCATTTATCTTGTTATCTGTGTCAGTGGGATGCAGTGGTGTTTCATTAGGTTTAGTTAGGACAATATTCTTGTTTTTTTTCAGTCTGTGGGTCCCTAGAATCTGAGAGAGTGTTTTCCAGGTCTTTTTTATATCTCCTCTTGTGTCAGTGAATCTGCTGGAGTAGTATAGTTGTTTGGCTTTCTTTATTACTTTGGTGAGAACTGATGAATAGTGTTTAAGAATATCTTTGTGTATTAAGTCCTGTCTACATTGCTTTTCATATTGGTGTTTCTTATCAATGGATTTCAGAATGGTGCTGGTTAGCCATGGGCAACCAAGCCGTTTGTTTGTGATGTTTCGTTTTTATAGGACAATGTTTGTTGTATAGTCTAAGTAATTTGTTACGAAAAATGTCTGTCCAGTCATCAGTACCATTGGCCTTGGAGGATTCTGTAGGCCAGTCAACAGTCTCTAGGTCAGCTGTGAAATTCCTTATTGAGGCCTCGTCATGGAGTCTAAATGAAACTTTGTTGTATTCAAGTGGTTTACTAATGTTTGTCAAGAGGAAGGTAGGGTAGTGGTCTGTAGTGCTATCTGTGATTATCCCTGATTTAAGGGGGGCTAGTATATTGGTCCATATGTGGTCTATTATGGTTGCACTTGTCTCAGTGAGCCTGGTTGGTTTAGTTATTGTTGGTATGAGAAGTGTGTTGTTCATATTGTTGATGAAATCAGTTACAGGCTGATCATCTAGTAGGCCAAGGTTGATGTTGAAGTCTCCAGCTAGACGATGAGGGGAAGAGGGTGAGCGGTGCACTTAGGAGTCTGTGGAGACAAAGAACTTTGTCCTTGGAGGCAAAGAGGGGAATGTATGAGAGTATAGTTTTACCAACGCTCTTATATGGGTGTGAAGCATGGGTGATGAATGTTGCAGTGAGGAGAAGGCTGGAGGCAGTGGAGATGTCATGTCTGAGGGCAATGTGTGGTGTGAATATAATGCAGAGAATTCGTAGTTTGGAAGTTGGGAGGAGGTGCGGGATTACCAAAACTGTTGTCCAGAGGGCTGAGGAAGGGTTGTTGAGGTGGTTCGGACATGTAGAGAGAATGGAGTGAAACAGAATGACTTCAAGAGTGTATCAGTCTGTAGTGGAAGGAAGGCGGGGTAGGGGTCGGCCTAGGAAAGGTTGGAGGGAGGGGGTAAAGGGGTAAAGGAGGTTTTGTGTGTGAGGGCCTTGGACTTCCAGCGGGCATGCGTGAGCGTGTTTGATAGGAGTGAATGGAAACAAATGGTTTTTAATACTTGACATGCTGTTGGAGTGTGAGCAAAGTAACATTTATGAAGGGATTCAGGGAAACCGGCAGGCCGGACTTGAGTCCTGGAGATGGGAAGTACAGTGCCTGCACTCTGAAGGAGGGGTGTTAATGTTGCAGTTTAAAAACTGTAGTGTAAAGCACCCTTCTGGCAAGACAGTGATGGAGTGAATGATGGTGAAAGTTTTTCTTTTTTCGGGCCGCCCTGCCTTGGTGGGAATCAGCCAGTGTGTTAATAAAATAAAATAATAAAATGTAAAAAAAATGTAGATCTACTTTTGGAGCACTATGCATGTGACATAGATCTGCTTGGACAGTTTAAGGGTTAATACATGATAGTGCAAATGTATTATCAGGCTTTTATATTCATTTGGAAGTGAAAAAAGCTATGATTCACTTTACAATGATATTTGCTTTACAGTGGTAGCCTGGAACCTAACCTGCTGTATAAGCGGGACCCTCCTGTTTATTGTTGAATTTGCAGTAAAACTGTGAAATATGTTTGTATAGGGTATATAATTGGGAAGAAGCAAGTGTTTATTTATGAATTTTCAGAAAAACACTGTGAAATATAATGGGAAAGAAGTGATCATACCTGCTCAGACTCAGTGAGGTTGCTTTAAGTGAGTCTTCACTACTGTGAACTACATATTTTTTCTGAGTCGTCTAATGATAATGATAATTACTTACAAAGTGTTTGGCCTTTACACCTGTGCACTTTTGTGCACAGTGGGAAAAGGGTTGGCCATTGTATGCTGTGAATGTTGGTACTGTACTGTACTGTATTGCAATTTACATGCATTAAGGTACCATGTACATTTTATAAGTCGTCTTTTCCATTCTAATGATTTCATAATTATTATTACAGGAAAACCAGACCCCAGCAAGGCAAAAACGCAAATCGGTTGTCAAGAGAATCCAACAGTTGATGGAAAAATCTGACCAAGTTCATGAAAACATCAATCAACTTAGACTTAAATATAACTAATAATACAACATGATTGCTGTGATTTATTTCCAGAATATAAGAGCAGGGAGCAAGTTTGTTTGCATTGCAGATGTAGCTAGCTAACAATATTTTCCATAATCAGCTGTGTACAATATTGGATGGAAGAAATCTCAATATTAATAGGATGGTTTACCATATTTTCCCACCTCTAGAGAGAGTATTTGTTTTCTTGTATTCAGTGAAGTTCATATACAAGTGTTATTATTTTTTTGAAGAATAGCTAGTTAAACATACATGTAAGTTAATGTACAATGCCAAAATCATTTCTTGAATTTTTCCACCTTTGTGATGGAACATAATTTTCAAGTGTTTAAGTGGTTTGAAAGTGGAATTATTTTTTAACAGCACATGTTAGCTGCATGTTACTTTTTTTTTTTAACTCAGTGGCTGTCTCTCACCAAGGCAGGGCGACCCAAAGAGAACACATTTGTGTTGCCATATATACACTTGTAATGGAAGGATATTTTCCATTGTAGTTGCAATATGTACCTGCAAGTTATTATTATAATGGGAATATTAGTTCTTACATTATTCTCTGTGGTGTTAATGTAGTTATATGCCAGTTACAATCCAGAGCCGGAAATCATATTTTTCTTCCCTAATCCCTTTAAAGGAGGTGCTGTGATGCCAGTGAGGGGATCTTGATCCAAGGAGTCAAACCTGTCTTTCATTCCTTTGATCAAACCTGATTGCTTCCCATCCCCCAGGTGCTTTATGACCCCTGTGGGTTTAGTGCTTCCCATAATAAAAATAATAATACTCTTGATGTGTACAATAATATAGATTAATTATTCACTACTATTCTAGTACCACAATCATCACTTAACATTCAGTCTGTTATAATGAGTACCCATTTTTCCAGGAAGACTTCCAGATTGCAAATATTTTCTTTCTCACAAATAATGCAGCTTGAGAAAGGTGAATAATTGTTAGTACCATAAAAACAATCAGCAATATTTAAATTATGTTTCAACAATTTAAATTGTTTCTTAGTAAGTATTGTTCCTATTATGTATAGTAAGACTTCAGTTATACAAATGGATTTGGATGAGCTGTTATCCAAATACAGCCTCTCCTCACTTAGCGATGTACTCGTTTACTGACGCCTTGGACTTACGATGGGCTCTCTAACCAGTATTCATACGTAAATAATAATGTACGTATATTAGAGCTGATTGTAGGTAGTAGGTTGGTAGACAGCAACCGCCCAGGGAGGGACTGCCGTCTTGCCAAGTGAATGTAAAACGAAAGCCTGTACAGTGGACCCCCGGTTTACGATATTTTTTCATTCCAGAAGTATGTTCAGGTGCCAGTACTGACCAAATTTGTTCCCATAAGGAATATTGTGAATTAGATTAGTCCATTTCAGACCCCCAAACATACACGTACAAACGCACTTACATAAATACACTTACATAATTGGTTGCATTGGGAGGTGATCGTTAAGCGGGGGTCCACTGTATTTGTTTTACATGATGGTAGGATTGCTGGTGTCTTTTTTTCTGTCTCATAAACATGCAAGATTTCAGGTACGTCTTACTACTACTTCTTACACTTAGGTCACACTACACATACATGTACAAGCATATATATACACACCCCTCTGGATTTTCTTCTATTTTCTTTCTAGTTCTTGTTCTTGTTTATTTCCTCTTATCTCCATGGGGAAGTGGAACAGAATTCTTCCTCCGTAAGCTATGCGTGTTGTAAGAGGCGACTAAAATGCCAGGACCTAGGGGCTAGTAACCCCTTCTCCTGTACAGAATACTAAATTTAACTTTCGTTTTTCTTTTTGGACCACCCTGCCTTGGTGGGATACAGCCGGTTTGTTGAAAAAAAAAAAATTAGAGCTGATTTCCTCTATTCTGTTTATTTCAATATACAATACACTAATGTATAAACATTTAGAAATATACCAGAAATGTTATAAAATGTGCAAAGGTGACATTAAAATATCAAAGATGGTTGACACAAACTCACTACCATTGTAGTATACCCTCTTCAAGGGGGGCTCCTTGGCATGGTGATAGGGCTCTTGGTCTGAGGAATTAGACCTGTCGGTCTCCTTCCTCAGACCGAACCTAATTACCCCCCAATCCCCCCTTCCCTATTCCATCCTCCCCATCCTCCCCTTTTCCCTTTCCTCCTCACCCTCCCCACCCGTCCCTTTTGCCCTTCCTCTTTTTGGCCTTTGGGATTTTTCCCACAGGCGCGCTAGTTCCTAGGTAGGGGAAAGGGTACCAGGGTCCATCCCATTCCGTTGAGGTTCTTGGCGGTGGCGTAGTTTGCCGTGGAATCTGGATCGCCTGGGATGTCCCGATCCTCCCCGGTTATTCCGGAGAGTGGCTTTGGTGTCTTTTGGGTGACGGGTGTATTCTGGAAGCCCCCTTTGGATTCCGGGGGTGGTGGCCGAAGGAGGTATGCTTTGTGGCGGATATCCGGCCGCCCTCTCTTTTGTCCACCGAGGGTAGCTCGGCAAAAGTTGAGGTTGCTACCCCGGATTGCTGGTTTACGGGGCATGATGGGTAGGGTAAGGCACGGGTTCCATGCTGCATCTACGTTACTTGCGGTGCTGGGGTTTTCCTCTTGGGCGTGGAGGGAGATTTCGGGCCCCTTTCATTCCTCCTAGGAACTTTCCCTCCCGGGTCCCTCTTTTTTTATTCTTTTTTTATTTTTATTTTATTTTCTTCTTTCTTTTTTTTTTCTTAAAAACAAAAAGAAGTAACCTAACCATGGCAGCCCCAGTCCATGAACCTGGTACCCCCGGGCCCCTTCTTGATACCGCACCCCGTCTGACCCCGCCTCGTCTTTGGACCACTCTTTGGACACTCCTCATGCCTCTGTACCTCTTGCCGGTGCTGTTTCCTCACCAGCTTCAGGTACTGAGGTCTCGACTGTCTCCTTTGATTTATCTGACCTCCTCTCTCCTTTGACTATGCTTCCGGCCTCTCCCTCTACGGTGCGGCAATTTTCGAATCGCCGGCCCGTTCCACGTCGGACCAACTCTGGTCCCACGCCTAAACGCCAACGACAGTTACCTGCTGATGATACTTCTCCACCTTCTCGTTCTTCTCAGAAAAGATCGACACGTCCTGCACTCCCTTTCCACGCTCAGTTTCAGGGCTGCAAAAATGGGGCTAAATTCTTCACTTTACGACCGACTTCCTCTACCGCCTATTTTTTCCGACCACGTATTGGGCAAGGCACTCCTATGCCATGTTGGTAAAGATATTTCTTTTCATGCTCTTAAGAGCGGTACACGCATCATCACTGTACAGAATGCTACCAAGCTCATTGATCTTTCTCTTCTTTCCCATATAGATACTGTTCCTGTCACTATTGAAAAACATCATTCCCTCAATTCTTGTAGGTGGTACCGTCATTCTTCCCCTTTCCATAGTTCAACAAATTTCCAGACATGTGGAAATTTGACATTCCTGAACAGCTGGAACTCCAAGATCTCCCAATCCTCAAGGTAGACACTTATGTTCTTTCCTGCCCGCGGGCGGGACGTTTCCCCTAGCAATGTGGCTCGTTTAATTTTTGGGACACCCGTGAACTCCCATCCTCAGTTTATGTAGCAGGACATCGGTTACAAGTTCAAAAGGTGACCCCTACACCCCCAACAGTGTAGAAATTGCTGGGGGATTTGGTCATCCAGCGAAATATTGCGATTCATAGCCGAATGCCAGTCTGTGGTGCCGATGACCATTCTAATACATCTTGCAATCGACCTCCCTCTTGCCTTGTCATGAGGCTCACCCTTCATACTCTCGCCGTTGCCAAGTCTACTTAATGAGGGGGAAATCCATTACCTCAGAGGCAGAAGGTCTCCCTTATCCCATGGCAGTTTCTCATCCCCGCCTCCAAGGGAAACTCCCTCGTGTTTCTTATTCCGTGTTTCAAAACGTCCCCCACTTCTGGGGTCCCTCTTCTGCAGCCTCCTCTGTGGTTACCTCTCCCATAAGTCCTCCTGTTTTTAAATTTCTTTTGCGGGTCCTAGGCTCAGACGCCCCTACTTCAACGCCTCAGTCTGTTCTCGCTTCTTCGTGTTCTCCCTCACAAGCCTAAAGTATCGAAAAGGGACCGTACGACACCTCCCAATGGGTCCCTCTACTTCTCAGAAGTCAAAAAACGCCCTTTTAAACCCCCTTTCCTTCCCTTCTTCCACCCCTCATTTTCCCTTTCCCGTGTCTCTTTTCCGGGTTTTTCCCCTCCACGGGCTCTGTTACAAGTGTAGAGGTTTCCCCTCCTGTACTATACCTACCTCCCTGTTCCCTCCCAAGTTTCTTCCTCTTCTGCCACCTCCCAGGTTTCTGTTTCTTCTTTTCCCCTTCCACGTTCTTCCCCAGTTCCCTCACCCTTTCGCCCCCCCCCTATCTTGGTACAGTCCTTACAGTTCCAATCTTACTCATCCTCCCCCTACCATTCCAATATTGTCTCCCTACGACGTCTCTGAATTCCAAAACACTTGAGCAATCTCTGAATTATTGCAGAGCCCAAACCCATCAATGGACATGATCCACCCTCTATTCCTTCTCTTCCTCTCCCCCATCTGCGCAAACTCCTTTCTTCACAGCGCACCATTCCTTCGCTGCTTGACGTTTTCCGCTCCCTCCGCATGTGGACTTTTCAAACCCCCTTTTAGTCCATAGGAACCCTTACCTGCGGATTTCAAGTATCTTTATCATTCCCAATCATGGCTATTTACAGTGGAATAAAACGCGGCCTCAGGGGTAATCGGGGTGAGCTTCGATGTTACTCTCCCAGTTTTTCCCTGTTGGTGTTTGCTTACAGGAATCAAAATTACACTCTGCTGTTATCTCTCCCATCTCAGGCTATAATTTATTGTATTCTTCAGATCCTTTTCCTGATGGGACCTTTAATGAAAGTCCCCTTCTTTACGCACGATATTCCGTACCATCAGCTATTTGTTCGTACTTCGCTCATACACAGCCAGCCCGTATCCACTTGCGTAGGGGGTTTATTGCTCTGTTTTTATATCTCTCTCCTTCTCGGGCATTATCTATTCCGGATATTGCCTTTCTTGTTTCGTCATTACCACCACCGATTCTGTTACTTAGCGATTTTAATGCCCATCATTTCCTCTGGGGGGGGGGTCTCACTGTGATTCCCGTGGCACTCAGTTAGAGGTTGTTCTTGCCACCCACCCCCTCCATGTTTTAAATACAGGTACTCGCACCCATTTTGATCCTCGGACTCACACTCTCTCTTGCATCGATCTCTCAGTCTGCTCTTCCTTCGCTGCATTAGACTTACTGGGCTGTCCTCCTGGATTTACATGGGCAGCGATCATTTCCCAATCATTCTTACTTCCCTTCATATTCACCACCTTTTCGTATCCCACGCTGGCAATTTGATCAGGCAAAAATTTGGAAACCCTTTTCTCACAAAATAACTTTTTTTTAGTGAGGTTCCTTCTTCGTCCTCCATTGATGAGCTTTTACACCTCTTCTCGTCCTCCGTTTTTAACCGCAGCTTCTCATTCTATACCCCAAACTTCGGGGAGGCATTCTCAGAAATGCGTGCCTGGGTGGTCTCCTGCTTGTGCTCGTGCAGTAAAGTTTGAAACACGCTGCATGGGGCAGGTACCAGTACAGTAGAACCATGGAGAGACTTCTTGATTTTAAGCAGAAGCGTGCGATCGCTCACCGTGTTTATCCGTGACGCTAAACGCACTTTGCTTGGCGGATTATGTCTCCCATCACCTCTGCTTCCTCTATGAGTGCAGTCTGGGAAAAAAAATACGAAAGCTGGAGTGGTAAATATTCTCCTGACCCCCCTCCTGTTCTGCGGGTTGCCTGTGTTGATATAGCAAACCACCCAGATGTTGCCAATGAAATTGGCAATCATCTGGTCCATATTTCTCAGGGGCTCATCTATGCCCCTGTTCTTTCCTCAAAGTCTGCCAGGGGAGTTAGCACCCTTGGACTTTTCTTCTTTTCAGAGAAGAACAGTATAATGTGCCTTTTACACTTCAAGAACTGGAGGCAACCCTCTCAGTTGCCGATCATCGGCAGCTGGGCCCGAGACATTCATATTCGTATGCTACAACATTTACATCAGTCAGCCCTTGCAGTCTATTATGCCTTTTCAATCTTATTTGGCACAAGGAGTTCTTCCCCAGCTGTGGAAATCTGCCATTGTTCTCCCTTTCCCCAAACCAGGCACTACGGGACATGAAGCCTCCCACTATGTCCCCTTGCTCTTACCGTGCAGTTTGCGTGATGGACGCCTGGTAATAGACGTTTTGTGTGGTATTTAGAGACACAAAGTCTCTCCACTCATCAATTGGGTTTCGTAAGGGACGTTCTACCCTAGACCCTTACTACGCTTGGATACGTATGTTCGTAATGCCTTTGCGAATAACCACTCAGTTATTGCCCTATTTTTTGACCTTGAGAAGGCATATGACACAACTTGGAGGTATAATATTTTGGCAAGCCACTCCTTGGCTCCGAGGCAATTACCATCCTTCCTTAAGAACTTTTTAATGATAGACATTCCGTGGGTTTGGGTTTAAAATGTGCTCTCCCCAGACTTTATCCCAAACTGAAAGGTGTCCCCAGGGATGTGTTCTGAGCACAACACTTTTTCTCCTTGCTATTAATGATTTGGCCTCTGTCTTCCATTTAAATATTTGGTCATACTCTAGTTTTGGGCTCGCTATTGCTGTGCAGGCGCTGGGCTGTCACCTCATTACAGTTTCTCTCCAGTATACGGGTCGACGCGTTTCCAATTGGGCCACCACACATGGGTTTAAATTTTCCAGCACTAAAAACCCCCCAACTTACTTTCACTAGATGCTCTGTCATTTTCCCATCATCTTTGTACCTCTATGGCTCCCGTATCCCTGAACGGGGTAC